ATATAGGGTTTGGTACCAAAATCTTGTCGATACCTACTCTAATAGCGCAGTTATGGTTACTTTTACTGTATAAATGGCGGGCATTTTGAAATTCCAAAATGGCCGCCAAGACAATCTCGGAAAAAATGGACCTTTGCATTTTTGGATTCAGCATACCCAAAATATCCGGAAAATGCAATAAAATTGCTTTGGGCACGCCTATCTCGCAAACCTGTTTTTTTGGACATTAGGTTTCTCACTAAGCTGTAAATGATTATGAAAATGACCAGTGGCGCACGGCTCGCCCCCCCCCCCCCCCCCCCCCCCCCCTTGAATCCGTCACTGCCTACACTTAATGGTACTGTAGAGTTTTCAGTTTATTATTAATATTAATTAATCATCATTATTTATCATCAACATCATTATGATTATTATTATTATTACTACTATTATTATTATTACTATTATTATTATTATTATTATTATTACTATTATTACTATTATTATTATTATTATTATTATTATTATTATTGTTATTGTTAATGCTGTTTGCATATAGGCACTGCATTTTTTGGGGGGCTCATGCATAGGGAATTTCATATTTGTTTACCTTACAGTAAACATTCACTTCTGAAGACAATTTTACTTTTTCCAATATTACTGCACATATAATCATACATGGCTGCCTACACCATTATAATATAATATTACCATCATCATCATCATCATTATTATAATTATTATTATCATCAACATAATTATAATTATTATCATGTCGACCATTATTATTATTATTATTATTATTATTATTATTATTATTATTATTATTATTATTATTATTATTCATCTTTAACCTTAAATACTTAGTGATGTGAATGATCATCTACCGTACCTTTAGCTAACAGAATCAAGATACAGTATCCGTAGCTTTAGCTATAGCAAACCACTGTATAAAATGAATAAAAATGGTTACAACAAATCTTTCCCATATTTTTCAATTATGTAAAAATAATCGAGATTTGATGTTTTTATACACATTTGTTAGTCGCTCGTTAGACACTATTAGTATTACCTTAGGTACATAAATATGGTGAATATTCAGCCCTACCTGTTGAAACTGCAATATCACTTGAAGTTAGAATACACAAAAGTGCGACTAAATAGGATACCATTCTTCAAGGTTACTGTCTTCACTTTCCAATCTCAACTTTGAAATTAAATGTTCTCTAGTATATGCTATTAGTTATAATGACACGCCGATGATAGCAAGTTGTGTTAGGCTGTGTCTGGTACGAATGAATTTATGATGGCTTCCCTTAGAGCCCCGTCTGCATTGACTCAGTGTTTTCGGTTTGGTTATAGCCGAGGTCTATATTTACCAAGTTCTCTTGGTCATGCAATAACTATCCTATTATTTAGCTAGGTAGCCAATTCATCGCCTTTTCATAAGCAGTCATCCGTGCGAAACACCTTCCATTGTATCTGTGAATTCAACAGAGGGTTTTTGTCAGGCTTTGTATGTTCAACGCCCTTTTATGCTGTAGCTGTAATCTGTCGAAAAAACACTGCGTATATACACCTGTATCATAGGGCGTGTTTCTACTGAAAATACTGTACAGATCTTTTGTCATTGGTCATTAATGACTGAAATAGCCCTACAAAAGTATCGTTCTTCGTCTACTGGGCACGAATGGATTTCATGCCAAAGAAGGGTTCTTGAACATGATCGAAAGTCTGTTTTTATGTGCTAGCTACATTTTACTGACACATGAAATTGTGTTTTTTTTTTTTTGTAAGGAACCCTTTATACTTGCAGTACCCGCTGCTACTAGGGGATCGAATTCATCACTAGTAACCAAGCGCAAGCTCGGTGGTCTAGTGATTAAGACATCAGGCTAGATACCTGGAGGTCGTGGGTTCGATTCCCACCCGAATTACTTGCGATTTTTTTTTTCGCTAGTATTTGGGGACGTACTGAGTATTCAGTACGATTACACGTCAGGTAGGTCAAAACATCACTCCTATGATAATTTCCTGACGCAGATCTTTTGTCATTGGTCATTAATGACTGAAATAGCCCTACAAAAGATCTTTTGTCATTGGTCATTAATGACTGAAATAGCCCTACAAAAGTATCGTTCTTCGTCTACTGGGCACGAATGGATTTCATGCCAAAGAAGGGTTCTTGAACATGATCGAAAGTCTGTTTTTATGTGCTAGCTACATTTTACTGACACATGAAATTGTGTTTTTTGTTTTTGTGTTAGGTCAAAACATCACTCCTATGATAATTTCCTGACGCAAACTCATATCCTAATAACACTTGCAGTACCCGCTGCTACTAGGGGATCGAATTCATCACTAGTAGCCTAACCAAGCGCAAGCTCGGTGGTCTAGTAGTAACCAAGCGCAAAGCTCGGTGGTCTAGTGGTTAAGACATCAGGCTAGATACCTGGAGGTCGTGGGTTCGACTCCCACCCGAATTACTTGCGATTTTTTTCGCTAGTATTTGGGGACGTACTGAGTATTCAGTACGATCGGATTACACGTCAGGTAGGGCAAAACATCACTCCTATGATAATTTCCTGACGCAAACTCATATCCTAATAATACTTGCAGTACCCGCTGCTACTAGGGGATCGAATTCATCATTAGTAACCAAGCGCAAGCTCGGTGGTCTAGTGGTTAAGACATCAGGCTAGATACCTGGAGGTTGTGGGTTCGATTCCCACCCGAATTACTTGCGATTTTTTTCGCTAGTATTTGGGGACGTACTGAGTATTCAGTACGATTACACGTCAGGTAGGGCAAAACATCACTCCTAAGAACCCTTTATAGAAATCATTTCTAAGCCAGTAGAAACACACATTCCGGGTTGCATTATGTTTTTTCCCATACAGTTCCGACAGAAATTATAGAGGGTGCTATTTTAGGTCAGTTATGTGATAAAACTAACTTCAAAGGAATCAGTAATGGTAGAGTCATTTTCATGAGATCCGTGACTAATTTTAGGATACCTTTTTTTCTCGATGGATTTGGCAAGATGGACCAAATTAGATAAAATATAGCTCCTATATACCTCCTAGATATTGGGGGAAAGTCCCGTTTGGGGGCGATTTTCAAAATGGCCGCCTGGTGATTTGGACGCTTGTATCTCGATAACCACTGGTCAGAGAGACTTGATTTTTGTGTCAAATTGTTCACAATATGCATGTTCCTATTTATTGTAATACAATTTGTTATCAAAAAATGGCAGGAAATGCGATTTTCGGAACTTTGACCTTTGATCTTGTATTGTCATATCTCGGTAACTACTGGTCATAGAGACTCACAATTGATTGCAAAGTGTTCAGGGGATTCTTGTTTATATTCGTCTTAATGAAAAAAATATTCAAATAGTGACCGGAAACGGTACATTCTGACCTTTGCCATATTGTAGGGTCATTCCATGTCAAATCAAACAGATTAAAAAAAAAATCCTGTATGACTGTCTCAGATTTTCATGAAACTCCATAAAAATGATCCACTATATGCTAAACCAACAAAAAAAATTAGCCTTATAGGATATATGGTTTCCGAGATTAGATTAACAGTTATCCCTTCGCTTTTGAAGTTATCTGCACTCAAAGTAGCCGCTTTGTTTAACGATGCAAATTTTTTTTGTGATTTTCAAGGTCACCCTGCGTCCATTTGAATGGGTATATACCCCTCATATTACAGATGTATTATTTAAGTGTAGTTGTCTCTAGCCACATGCAAGCGCATATTGACATAGTTTCTGGCTATAAATACCTGGGTATTTGGTTTGATGAATTCCTTGATTATTATTTATCTGCCAAAAACCTGGCTGCATCTGCATCTCGTGCACTGGGATTCGTCATTAGTAAAGTTAAAGCCCTTGGTGGTATCAATTTTATTTCCTTTACCAAGCTTTATGACTCTTTTGTTAGCCCAATATTGGATTACGGTAGCGGGGTCTGGGGTCTGTGTGAATATTCATCAATAAACTCTGTTTTCTATCGCGCATGCCGTTTCTTCTTAGGTGTGGGGAAATACACACCAAATGACACAATGCTAGGCGACATAGGTTGGGACCCCCCTATCGTGCACCAGATGCAGGCTATAACCCGTTTATGGAGCCGTCTCTCAAAATTGGATGAAAACCGATATCCAAGTAAAGTTTTCCGTTGGTCACAACATTTGGCAGATAAGAATATAAAAAATTGGTGCCATAATGTTAAAATATTGTTCTCTAAAATGAACTGTGAACTCAATTTAAATATTGCAGAAGAAATTAACTCCCGTGATCTGGTGGATAAAGTTAATAACGCCTCAAAATTGTATGTTGAAAACCGTTGGAAACAAAACATATTTAATGATAACAGAAACAATCCAAATTCTCAAAATAAACTGCGAACTTATCGAACTTTTAAATCTAGCTTCGGTACAGCCAGTTACGTGACCACTTGGCCCTTTTCAGATCGGGTTGTGCACCCATTGCCATAGAAACCGGGCGTTATAACAATACTCCAGTTAATGAGAGGAAATGTAATCTGTGTAATCTGGATTATATTGAAAATGAATTGCACTGTTTTATTGAATGTTCAGTATACACTTCTTTCAGAACCCAACTGTTTAATGATCTTGCTAAATTTAATCCATTCTTCTCTGACCTAAGTAATATTGAAAATTTACATACTTGATGAGTGATGGCAATCACTGTTATATGGTTGCAAATTTCGCCAATCAGATTCTTTCAATACGGCAGTCTATTTTGTTTAATCACTAATGTTGAGATTTGTGTTTTTTTTTTGTTTTTTTATTATATGTTCTATTTGTAGACTTTTTCCTTTCTTTCATGTTGCGTGGTAGTACACAAAAACAAAAAAGGGAAAAAAAAGTGAAAAAGGAAAAGAAAAAAAAAAACAGGTTATGAGCCCTTTTCATGTATTTTTTAAGATGTGTCACTCATAAGCCAGTATTGGCTGGTCTTATTGTATTATAAGAGTGTGACGTTAATAAAGACAAAACTAAACTAAACTAAACTACAACCCCTTTAACCTTTTGTGGTGTAGGACACCTTTTACTGCTGATTCAAAATCCTTAAAAACATGTTTTTAACATATCATCAACAATAATACCCTACTTTTATATAAATATTTTGCTTTAATTTTCTAAATCTATGTCATAGACCCATTAAATTTTCTATGAATTTCAAATTCATTTATCTAAAGTTATTTCTGGTTTAATTCTTAATGTGCAACTTCAACATGGGTAATAATAACCTCATCAAATTTGTATTGTGGGTGACGGCCCTTATTATTAGTAAGTCATAGCACATGGAAATTGGGACATCACATACATCATTTTTTGTGGCCAATATATGGTAAATTATTTCCTAGAAACTTTCTATTCTGTTTCATGAATATATTCATGTTCGATTCATGAATAGAAACTTCCTATAATTCGTATTATATTCATATTTATTTTGGGCCACGCCCCCTGAACCTCAAACTGCCGCTACAGGAAAGTGAACGAATTGGAGAGTCTCAAAATTTCAGGTTTCCGGTTCACATATATATCTATATCACTGAGTCAGTGTGGCAAAAAATTAAAAACAAATCTATGACCCATGGTCATGGTGTAATGCATTTGTGTGTTTGGCATGGAATGACCCAACTCTTAAAAATGTTTGTGATTTCCTATTACGTTGAAATATGTGTAGTTTTCAACATAGTATCTAGCCATGAGCCACATCTAGATGCTAAAATTTGGTTTATAGGTAGATCCAATGTATCTGATTAACTGGGGTAAATTTAAGAAAAGATTTTAACTTTCCACAAGACGATCCGTTGTTGAGAAACATTGGCGTTTTTCACTTTTATAGATCTTGTCCCAACTTTGAATATATGCCATTCAATTTTAATTGATTTGATCAGCCTGCGCTTGCATGTGGCTAGAGACAACTACACATAGATAATATTTCTGTAATATGAGGTGTAAATACCCACTCAAATAGACGCAGGGTGACCTCGAAAATCACTAAAAATTTGCATCGTTAAACAAAGCGGCTACTTTGAGTGCAGATAACTTCAAAAGGGAAGGGATAACTGTTAATCTAAGGCCATATTTGTGAAATATGGCAAAAAATAAGTTAGAATACCAAGTTTGACCCTGATAGCTATTACCAATCTCCTGTTATAAGCTTCCAAAGTTGAAGTAAATTGCGTTTGCACATCTTGAAGAACCACGCCCCATATTTTTGAGGAGTCAATATCTCGAAAACTACATATTTAGTTTTTCATACAGTGGATCATTTTTATGAAGTTTCATCAAAATCTGAGACGGTCATACAGGAATTTCTTTTTAATCTGGTTAATTTGACATGGAATGACCCTACAATAGGTCAAAGGTCGGAAT